GTGGAGCCGCTATTATATGGCTACCTGTAATTTTAATTAATTACCGGATAATTTGGCTATTTTAATAATATCCCCTAGGGATTATCTCAACGAGTCCAATCTTTATTGATACTTCTGTATGTTCTATATAAAAATACTCAGCGTTCCCCCAAAAATCTTCATTTAATTCTAACCCCAACTCCAAATTTTTACCCGTAAAAACTTATATAGTATGATGTTGAACATCATAGGTGCATTTTATAATTTTTGATTAATATATTAACAATAATTATAATAATTATAATTATTATTTTAAGAATTATTTGACAATTATTATTTAACAATAATTTAACAAATATATTGATAATATGAATTATTATATATTTTTATACTTAACATATTTTTTTATTTCTGTATAGGTGTTGCGAGTATATTAGCTCTTCTTCTTGCCTCACCGAAAAATTGTATGACTACACGGTGGAGTCGTTTACCACTTGGTCGTAAAGTTCATGCATACGCGTTTGCGACTCCGTGTGTAATGTCTGAAGCACTTTCAGTCCGTGTTCAACCCCTAGTTACATCCGTAGCATATGGTAACGATGTGGTTTGCCGTCTAAGTCTTGGTCATGTACTGGATTTACGTAACATGGTCAGATTTCTTGGTTCAAATAAATCAAAATCTGGTGAAGCTGGAGAAGAGACTGCAAGTAAAATCATTAAAAAATTCATCGATTATCAAAGCAGAACGTTTAGTAATGATGAAAGAGGAAGAGAAAGTAGAGATGAATTTGAAAATTGGTTTTATAAAGTTAGAAATGATTGTTATCAACATATGCAAAACCCTAAGCTATATCCTCCCGGTAAAGTTTATTGGATTGTAAATGGTAATAGAGTCCCATATTGTGAAGATAATAATGATCAAGAAGATTCGGATGATGAGGAAGAAGGTATGGACCGGGAAAAATCTTTTCTTGAGGATAAAACAAATAAGCAATATTATATGTTGGATGTCGATGTCGAAAAAATATTTAATGAAGTTTCGTTTTCTCCACGTATGATGATGGACCATCTTCCTCACATATATGGTTCGTATAAAAATTTTTTCATTTTTATCATCAATATCAATTCTATTTAAATTTATTCTAAATCCTATTTTCATACTTTGCAGAAAATGTTTTGAAAAGCCTGTAAAAATAAAAAAAATAATAATAGTAATATAAATTTTTTATACATATGTAGTAAATATTTTTACATTCTTTTGTTTCATATTAATCACGAATGTTATATATTAAACCTTTGTGCATGCTTAATTTTAAACAATTGTGCATATTAAAAAATTTTTTCATGATCCATTTGATGGATCAATTTTACTTTAGACATTTAGAGCAAGAATAAATAAAATGTTACATATTCATGGATTTGACTTTTTTTTTTAAATACCTATATGAAAAATGATTCGTTGCATTTAATTTTGACGTACCAAAAAACGATTAAATGACGCGACATAATCTTTGTTATTTAAATACGCAATTGCATTCGATTACTTTATAATACAGGAAATACAGTGAATGATAAAGTTTACATCCGCATGGCAATTGTGCGTTAAATATAAGCGTAATATTAACGCGTAAGATTACTAATCAGGTTTTTTATTTAGTAACATATTATTTGAATATTAATAGGAGTAGGGTGGTGGGCACAGGGTCTGTGGGCATGCCCTTGAGCCAGAAGGCATGCTCTTATCAGTCAGGGAATATGTTACATATAGTAATATATGATTTTTTTTTTCATAATAAAAATTATAAAAAAACATATAAATTTACTATAAACTTTAAGCTCGACATTCTTTTCAACTTACAAATTAACTTATTTTCAAATTTTAGGATTAAGTATATCGAAAACAGTAGAATAAGCTAACTTAGAACGATATTTTAAAATTTTGTAAAAATTTTAGATATTACTAATAAATTTTTTTAAAAAAATGAATTTTGCTAATTTTAAAACTGCAATTATATGTAAAATTTTATGTTAAACAAACTTACTTAGAAAGTGAAAATAGATTATATTAGTAAAAAAATAAGTTTACTATATACAAATAATAAATTTTTTAGTTTTTATATATACAGTATAACTTTTTTTTGTACTGACAACCTATCTTTATCTTCTAAGTAAACTTGTTCAGAACAAAATTCTACATACAGTATATATATTTGTCAAAATGTGATTTTTTTGAACATTTTACTAAGTAAAAAATTGAATTAACTTTGTATAAAATTTTTTTTTTTTAATTGATAATTTACAAGTCAACCATAGTGAAACATGATGTGGATCACTTATAGAAATTGGGGCTTTGCAAATATGGTGTACATGAATTTAAAACTTTTTTAATACTAAGTTAACCATTCTTCTAACTTAAAAGATTTTTGTAGAACTTGTTAAGATGTATTTAATAGTGATTAAATCATCCAAATTGGCTTAGTGGATACCAAAATATCTTTAAAAACCTTTTTTTAACTATATAAATTTTTTTAAAACATTATTATTGTTTTACAAAAAAATTTATATAGTTAAAGAAAGGTTTTTAAAAGATATCTTGGCATTTACCAGGCTAATTTAAATGATTTAACTAGGGATATTAATGGTTTGCTTAAAGCTAGCTCAGTTATAATTTTGTAGCCAAGCTATTTAAAGCCAGGCTAGCCAGCTTGAAATATCAATATTGCATAATAAAAATAGTATAAAGCCATAGCTTCGAACTATGGCTTGAGCCACAGTTTAAGCTAAAGCCAAAAACTATGACTTATAAATTTTAATTTAGTTTAAAAACTAATCTTGCATTGTTTAAGCAAAAATAGATTAGTTTTGCAACTAATAATTTTATTCTTCTTTTAGCAAGTTTGGTTATTAAAAATAAGTATTGCTCTCCTGGATTATTTGTACTGACATTCTATTGCCTCAATAATTATTTGGATTAGAATAATAACTAGTATTTCGTTTATTTTTTTATCTGATAATCAATATTAGATAACTCTAAATGTCTAATAAAACAATTAATAATCCTATAATTATGATTTTGTTATTATTATAAGCCTGTAATCTATTTTTTTAGCCATCTGTAGATTTGGGCCTTTATATGTAATATTTTTTTAATTTAGGCCTGTATTTGTAATTATTTTCATTTTCTGGCTCTTATTTGTAAATTTCCTTATAAATTTCTCATTTACCTTGCAACCTATAGAATTAACTCTTCGTAATTGCTGTAATTATAAAAAATTTAAGTGTTTTACCAATAAGTAGTTCAAATAATAATAGCCTTATTAATAATTACCTTACTAATATGTAAAAAATTATTATTTTTTCATTTAAATAGGGATATTAAAAAAATAACATTTTTTTTATTTGATAATCCGCCAGTCAACAGAAGAATAAACATAGTGTAACGTGATGCAAATCACTATGTACCGGTAAATCCAATATAGTGTGAATCTGAAAAATTTCTACTGTTCGTCCAAAGAAAACATTTTTTCGTACTAAGTTAATC